CATCCAAATGAATCTGAAAGCACTGCTCTAGAGTAAAGAGTAGGCTGTTTCCATAAGGGTAGCTAGGAAATGATCTGGGAGTTTTCAGTCTTTCAGAAAGCAGAGAAGGTCTCTAAATTAGTAACTGCTGTGAATTAGAAGATGCCTAATGTGAGTTTTACAAATGATCACAATGCCATTGCCAGCTTCAGAAGAGGAAGTTTAGCAGCGATCCCCTTTTTTGTGTGCCTATGTGTACATTCCAGCTGGAGAGAAAGAGAGAGAGTCAACAAACAGCAGCCCCTGCTTGGCGCGGCACTCACCCTGGCTGAAAAGATGGAGCAAAAGGAGGAATTTGCTCACTTCTTCTTGTTAAAAGATTGAAAGACAGGTTTTGTCCCTGATCTCTGGGATGCCCTTCCACTCAGGGAGGAATGCACCCCGTTAGCACCGCACAAAAAGAATTTCAATCCGCAGCCCTCAGGAGCCGGAGCAACAATTACGTTTGGAAAGGGACAGAAATGCTTCTTTACAGCAGGTCAATAAAATGGATCAAGAGAACACAGCTGAGCACAACATCCCAGCGAGCACACAGGGCAGGGGATCCTGGCAGTGTGTTTACGGAAGGTAAAAGAACCAAGCAATGTCATTTACGGTATGTGTGGGCCCTGTCCTGCCTTTGGGCAGGGCATCCAAAACTCCCATGAGGCCAAATATCGGGTACTTTAATGACTCTTTACGCAGGTATAGGTGTCTTCCCTGAGAAAGGACTAAGTGAAAGTGGAGGGATGGATCCACAGCTAGTGTAAGTTGTCATGGTTCCACTGAAGTCAGTGAAGCTATGACAATGTCCATCAGACATCAGCTGGGGATCTGGCCCTGAGTAAGGACCTCAGGATTTGGCCCACTGACATTAACGGGAGGCCAGGCTGTTCAGCACCTCCCAGGATCAGAGCCCATGTGACTACAAACAAACACACGCTGGTATTACGCTATGAATTCACAATAACAGAGGAACAGGCCAATTGCATTATTTATTCATTCGTTCACATTTGTGCTAGACTGTAGTGAAAAAGCGCCCATCCATTGCGCTGGGTGCCCTTGAAAATCTTTTAAAAATACACTAGTAAACAAACAGCCATACCACTTACCCTAGATCAAACCAAGCGACGACATAAATTAATCCTCCTCCCTGCCCCAACAATGTTCAGCAGAGCCCCACACTACTATTATCTAGCCCACGTAATAGCCATCTTCCCATGGGCAAGGAGGGGAGGGAACCTGAATTTGGGTCCTGTAAAGCTGTGCTATGGAAAATCATGAATGTCAACGGAGAGTTCATACACCCCTGCTTATACTATTATAAAAGAAAGCTGTATTTACTATTTTCTGATGAAGTGGAGTAGCAGATCTGCTCTACTCCGTGACTTCAGACCATCTGCAGATCTTTTTCATCAACAGGAAGTTATATTCTTGAAGGACAGTTTAACTAGGAGCCCGAATTTTTAAAGCACAGCACAAATATAGTCTATTTATGTTACCTAGGATACTAAAAACTCTAAGCTTGACCTTGATCTGCCTGACTGGTAAGAGCTGGCCGTACTGGGTCAGACCAAAGGTCCATCCAGCCCAGTATCCTGTCTACCAACAGTGGCCAATGCCAGGTGCCCCAGAGGGAGTGAACCTAACAGGTAATGATCAAGTGACTTCTCTCCTGCCGTCCATCACCACTCTCTGACAAACAGAGGCTAGGGATACCATTCCTTACCCATCCTGGCTAATAGCCATTAATGGACTCATGGGAGTGGGTGGGTGAGGTTCTGTGGCCTGCAATGTGCAGGTCAGATTCACTAGATGATCATGATGATCCTTCTTACCTTAAAGTCTATGAGTCTATGAGCAAAACTCTCATGTGAGTCAATGGGTGTTTGGACAGAGGGAGAGCTGTAGGATTTGGCCACATAAATAGAGGTCTATTTTCTACAGCCTTATAATTTACACATTGACACAAGGTAGATCTTTCATTCTACTTCTATATTCTAAATAGAGATTTTATCAATGGAGATTAGCTATATTAGAGTTCCTTATGTTTGATCTCAGATGCAATGGATAATTTCATTTAAATTCATTTGGAGCTTCAGGTGCATAAAGATTGTAGAAACAAATCAAATTTAATTATAAGGAGGTTCAGTATTAGCTTTAACTATTCCATTATTGAATTTTCTTCTCCTTTTATGTTCCCTGCTACACCAGCATACATTCCAGATTACACTGGTTTCTATTTAGACTGATCTCCCTTATTCAGTTCTCTCCCACATTAGAGTACATATTGCGGGGAGGGAGGGCACTAAAAATAGTACCAAAAACTAATCTGAAGTTTTCAGTAACTAAACATCTACCTGATTATAAAAGACTTCCAAGACAGGAAGGCATCAATTAATACATGTTGCTGATAGTGCTTGGATGCTTATGTTTGTGTTATGAAGTCTATGTTTGGTTGTATGTGTTGTCTAATTAGACTGTAACTCTTCAGGGCAGGGATCAGCTTTTATTCTGTGGTTATAAACTGCCCAACACAATGGATCTCCAAGCCTGATTGGGGCTGGTAGGTGGTACTGGAATAATAATAATAACATGGAATTTTTTTCTTTTAATAATTAATGTTACTTACTGGTTTCTGATAATAGGATTTTGCTCAGGGTAAAGCTGTTTCAGGACAACAGTTTTCCTGAAAGTTCTACTATCAGATTTCTTAAATGGGATTTGTGACAGATTGCTGATGTGTCTGGGCCAAATTGTGAACTCCACTTTGGTTTTATGAATGCCATTTTTGATTGAAGGACAGAGTGAAGGTTACACTTCGTATTGTAATCTCCAAGTTAGATTAAGACATCCAGTTTGAGTTGAAAACTAGGCTGATCCTGACAAGGTCAGTCTATTCCAGACACTGTTCTGATCACGCAGGGTTGTGGGACACCTCAGAGATAACAATGAGCGAGCTATCAACACTGAATGGCTCTTCACTACTGAAGCAGTGAGTTTTCTCCTGGTAGACCACTGACTTTGAATGACTCTCTACACAGAAGCCAATTGGCAGGGAAGCAGGGCTGGAGCCTGAAATTCCTCTCACTGAAGCACATGGGCAAAAAAGGGACAGTGTTTTAAGAAGTGCGTGCATCTCGCAAGGGATCAAGCTATTACCACATGCAAGAAGATCAGACTAAGGAGCGAGAAGGTAGGAAGGGCTGCCCAGACTAAAGACACTGACCCAACCCAGGCCTCACAGCGGGGTCAGAACAGTTTAAGCAGAGTGAGTTCTGGATTTTGTTGTTTTTCAAAGATTCTGTAACTCTCTCATGTGTTTTATTAAGGCTATGTCTACACTAGCACTTTTGTCGGTAAAACTTTTTTCAGTCAGGGGTGTGTGAAAAAAACATACCCCTGACCAACATAAGTTTCACCAACAGAAGTGCAGGTGTGGACAGTGCTATATCAGTGAGAGACACTCTCCTGCTGACACAGTGACCACCGCTCACTGGGGTGGTTTAATTATGCCAACATGAAAACTCTCTCCCGCCAGCATAGAGCAGCTGCATGGGTGAATTTACAGGGGTGCAGCTGCAGCGGTTCAGCTCTGCCACTGTAAGGTCTGTAGTGTAGACATAGCCTAAGAGTAAAGTGTCTGTGGTTAAGAAATTCCTTTGCTAAGCCTGTGTTCCCTTGCTTTCCTGCCATGTTGGCCCTGAAGGGTTTAACTAGAAATCAGTTCCCAGAGCCAGGTGATCACTGGGAGGGAACATATCTAAATAATTGGGGATTCAGGAGAGCTGGGTCATTGGCCTGGAGGATAGAGGTAGCTGAACTATGGGATCCCACTGCTCTTAAAGGGTGCCAAACTTGGGGTGTGCTCCTGGGAGTATGCCTGACAGACCCATAATGGGAACCATACCAGTCACTACCCAGATTCAGAGGGGCTTAGAAGCATGTGGGGCAGGATTTGGGTCTGTTTATTATGGACTGGTGTCCAGCCAAAAGTGAGGATGGGGTCAGGTTGTAACAGGATTAGACATTGTTTTGTGTAGTGTAAGCCCATTTTTATACCAGTTCAGAGGAGCTGCTACTGAAAACCATTTTTCGTAATGGTCAATTTGCTAGGGCAGATCAGGCTTAAGAAGAATTTGTATGACTAGCCTATACACTATCCATCTGGAGATCTATAACAGCCATATGAAGCCAAAGTATGAGTTTTTGGCTAGATCGCATGCATCTGGGGTGTGAAACACAGCACATATTAAAAAAGGAGATAATATAAAACAATTTATTGTCCCCTTGAGAAATGTGAACCAAGGATCATTGCATATTTTGATTTGTAATTTATACTACATTCTTTTTATGAGTTACTGTGTGATCTTATTTTCTCAGCCTGTTTGGCTTTTTGGTAACTATCTGATTCACATTTTAGAAAGGGCAATTTCAAAAGAGCACAGTCCTTTCCTACAGTCCAAAATCCATAATTATTCTGCAATTAATCCGACCAGTGCCCTGGTTATGTTCAGGAGTCCAAATATGTTTTATAAATAGCTTGATTTTTGTCCTGCCCTTAAAGGAACTGAATTTGAAAGCATGAGAGAATATGAAAACATTGTGCTGGGGGAAGAGTGAAGAGGAAAGGGCTGTATTTCTCTGGACTAAACTGAAGTTTGAATCTAAAGTTTTTGCTTTGAGTTCTTCTCTCACTTTACAGCTCACGCTCTCTCTCTCTCTCACACACACACACGAAAATAAAAAAATAAAAATATCCATGTTTATTTGTCATAGTTTCCACCGACTAGACCCAACAGCAGATTGAAGTTGTGAGCACTGCTTTGTGGTATTTCCTTTTCTGAAGATTTTTTTCCAGGCTGTTTTTGAACTGGCTCCATGTTCACACACACACACAGAATCCATGTTCAAACACACACACACACACACACACATTCACAGCGAGGTTACACCCAGTTGGTTCCTTCTCGAGGGTAAATTCTTGGGATTCGCAGCTTCCAAACAGCCGATTTCCTTTCCTTGCAGCTGGGAGGGCAGGTTCCCTGGCTGCTGCTCCTGTGCTCACTGGCTGCCACTACTGGACCTTCCCCAGGAGGAGTCAGTCGCTTCACTTCTAAGGAAAGGGGGAGGCAGGGAGGGGGGAGAGGGGATCCGGGATCAGCCTCTCCTGCCCCAGCAGCAGCCAGGATGCTCCGAGGCAGCGGCAGCAGCTGGCCTCTGGAATCCCGGCCAGGCGAGTCACCCCGTTAGGAGGCCGGCCAGCACCCCGCGCCCGGGGGGCAGCAGCGGCAGCATGGGCAGCGGGAGCAGCAGGAGCAGGAGGAAGCGGAGCTGCAGCCCCGGCGCGGATCGTCCCGGCAGGTGGGGCAGAAGCAGCAGCGCCCCCAGCTGGCAGGGCGAGGAGGCCAAGGGGAGCCAGGCGCCCGCCCCCACGGAGCTGCCCAGCAGCAGCCTGCGGCGGCCGCAGCCGGGCGGGCCGGCGGAGGACTCGGACTGGGAGCTGCTGGAGGAGGTGCTGGCTGAGTGCGAGGAGCCGGGCGCGCTGCTCCCCACGGCCCGGGGTGCGGCTGCCCCCATCCCGGGCCCGCCCCGCCGGGGGCCCGCCGGGGACTCCTGGGCCGGCCACGACCGGCACTCAGGGGCGGTGGCAGCAGGGAGCGGCCGGGGCAGCGGTGCCGCCGGAGGGGACCAGCCGGTAAGTGACACCCCCACCCCGAAAGGGGGCGGGAGCGGAGCAGAGCGGAGCCCAGGCACCAAGAGGGAGGAGAGGCAGGGCCCAGCCAGCCCGGCCCCGGGCCCAAGTAACCCGTCCCGCCGGGGCCCATCGCCCCGGGATTCAGCCAGCCCGGCCCCCCGGGGCCCATTGCCCAGGGATCCAGCCAGCCCGTCCCCCCGG